TAGGCCACATTATTGGTATAGTCGAGAAGCTAATGTTCTATTTATAAAGTTATTTTATCACTGGCTCTTCTGGAACGACTATGGGGGGTAAAGGGTTAAGAAAAAATTAGAAGTGTTGCACTCTTGAAGGACTGGTCGCATTTTCAATTTTTTTAAGATGTTAAAAACTTCTTATGAAAGCAAGAGTTCCTAAAGTACGATGCTTAAGTAGCTAATTACTTTTCATACTATAGTCTTGCAAGAAACATAAATCTCATCCGTAGTTGATAAAATCTTTTCATACTAACAAACATGAAAGAATTGAAAAGCTGCATATAACGCCATAAGAAGCACGAAATAAATACAACCAAGAAAACATACAATCACTGTAATAAGTCAAACAATTAGTACATTAAATGAGTGATTCTATTCCTTTTTTTTTTATAGAAAAAGATCGCATGTTTTCCACTGGTATCATATGAACATAACGTATCTCGAGAAGCAATAGTTGTTTTTGTTCTATTGTTTATGAATCAATAAAAACTTCAATAATCATTTATAAAAACTATTATCTAATCTTTCTTTGATATGAGAATACTAATGTCTCAGTATCTAGAAATTGAAGTTCTTATACAGAAAAAAAATTTTAAACAAGATTTTCAGAAGAACTCGGATTTTTCATATGACCATATTGAATTCGCTCATAGTGCCCATCTAACATTGTCAGATTGGGCTGAAATTTTGACCACTAATACTTGCAAGAATTCTTCAAAGTTGAAATCGGTTGTCTTCGTTTTTGGCCTTTCTATACGTATGTATAGAACTCTAAATGCCAGTACCATGATTTTGGATCGAAATCTTGACATATTTCTCTCACAAAAAAGGAAAGTCAGGTTGAAGAAAAAGCTTAAAATTACCTGTGAGATATAGTCTTAGGTATCTCCAAAAACTTTTCAGCCTGATCAGATAAAGTTAGACAGGATCGTAGGCGGATCTGACGTGATCCTATGAAAGACCTTGTCTAAGCTGTTTTTTCCTCGAACACGTATCTTCTTTTTTAGGCGTTCTATCTGTGATTAAAACTGGATGTGAATCGATTGTACCTTCTTCAAGAATCAGAAATGACCAAAAAGGAGAAGAGACTACTCTTAAGGCTTACACGTTGACATGGTAGTAGTGTTACAAATGATTTAATACTTGATTATACTTCATCATAAATTAAAAAAAGCGATAATTTTGTTAAAATCATCTGTAAACGTTAGGCACCTTCAATCAATATCTGAATGATTTTCAAGAAAAGACTTCAAATGTTGCTATATTATAGGTTATTGTGGTCATCAATTTGGTTATTTTAGTGGTCAACTCGGTGATGGTGAGTAAAGAAAGATTTCTTTTACTATTAAAATATTCATCTATATATTTTCTTCAGGTGCCGCAATGTAACTAGATATCATTCGTTGAAACAATATTGATTTCTATTTTTTAGGTATCTCGGCGAAATAATCAATAGAAAGAATGAACGGTGGGAATTACAATTAAAAGGTGCAGGAAAAACTCCTTACTCTCGAACAGCTGATGGTCGTAAAGTTCTTCGAAGTTCGATCCGAGAATTTCTATGTAGTGAAGTGAATTTTCTGTTGATTTTTAAAAAATGAGTCATCTTCTTATATTTCTCGCTATTTTTTAATCTCAGGCAATGTTCTATTTGGATATACCAACAACACGTTCCGGAACATGTGTTACTTCTGATGATTATGTTATACGTGATATATATTATGACGGTAATCCTAAACAAGAACGATGTACAATTATTACACGTATAGCTCAAACATTTATTCGGTGAGAAGAAAATTGCGATGATGAGTACTTTTCTTTTCTTTATACAGTAAAAAATACTTAGATTTGGTTCTTTTGAAATATTTAAACCAATTGATCCATTAACTGGTCGAAAAGGTCCATCAGTTGGACGATATGATATATTAAAAACTTTACTTAATTATGTTATATCAACATTTTATCCTGAAGTAAAATTTTTCTGTTTTTCTTTGAAATCAAATTAATTTTTTTTTCATTTTCATTTAGATTGAAGCAAAATATGGTTCAGCAGATGTAGATAAATATGCTGCATTTTTTGAAGAAATTGTCAAACGAACAGCATCACTTGTTGCTCAATGGCAATGTGTTGGATGGTGTCATGGAGTATTAAATACTGATAATATGTCTATTGTTGGTGTAACTATTGATTATGGACCATATGGATTTATGGATCGTTATGATCCTGGTTTTATTTGTAATGGTTCAGGTAAAATACTAGGAGAGGACAAGTTTTGAATTTATATTTAAGAATATTTTTTTAGATGATAGTGGCCGATATTCATATAAACAACAGCCAAGTATTTGTAAATGGAATTGTGGAAAATTAGCTGAAGCATTAGCACCACTTTTACCAATAGAAAAATCAAAATTAATTTTGAATAAATTTGATGAAGAATATGAACGTGTTTATATGAATAAAATGCGACAAAAAGTAAAAAGAAATTTGTTTTATCTTTTATATAGAAAAGAAATATATTCTTGTTTTTTTTATGTAGTTTGGTCTTATACAAAAAGAATTAGAAACAGATAAGTAGGTTTAAATAGAAAAATAATTTTTTTTTTTAGTTTTTTTTAAACACAATTAGACAATTAATTGACACGTTTTTAAATACAATGGAAATGACCGGTGCAGATTTTACGAATTCATTCCGAGCACTTTCATTAATTCATTTACCGAATGCAAAAGATTTTGATCAATCGATTTGTTTATTTATATCAACAATTTTAGACCAATGTTGTGATGCTGAAGAATGGAAGTTTGTCAATAAATCATCGATTGATGCAAGGTAATTATGAATAAATAGCAAAAAGAAAAGTACATTTACGTAAATGCATGTATTTATATTTTAAAATAGAACATATGAATTACTTAAATCTCTTGCTGGAACAAATAATGCAATATTAAGTCAATTTGGATTTAGTGCCGAATTACTTGAAAATGATAAAAGAAAAAGAGAAAAATCTAAAGAATTAGAAGTATGTATAAGAATATTAGAAAAAAAAATTTTATTTTTTTTGTTTTTGTAGAACATGACAAATGAATCAAAACGAAAAGATGATGAAAAAGCATGGCGTTTATTTTTACAAATTTATATTGAAAGATTACAAAAAGAAATCGATGAAAATAATGATCAATTAAACAACAAAAGAATAGAAATCATGAAAAAAAATAATCCACGGTATGAAGAAAAAAAAACAAAAAGAGAAGAATAGAAAATAAACAAAAATAAAACGAGCTGAGGGCATTTCGGATAGTTATTCAAAACACATATTATAATCACTCTTTTCTATACTAACATTGGAAATTAACTATTGGAAAGATTTTTAATTATCAAGAAATATTGCAAGCAGCTTCGAGGATTTATTTTCTTCGAGGCTTTAATATAAATCCTGTTAAATATCATCTCTTCAGACGGAAGCATTATGCTAAAGGTAACAATGAGAACGGCACTTAAGGTAAAAGTTAACTTGTCCGAAGTATGGTTTTCTTTTGGTACATTTAAGCAAGTGTATTATAGGTATAAATAGATAAATCCACTAGTTTAAATAAATCAGGGTAGTTTCTTGATATTTATGAAGTTCAATAGTTCTAACAAATAGCATAAAATGTTTCTTAGCATGTTTTACATTAAATGAAGTAAGCATAGTTGTTATTATGAAGCTGTCCAGATCTTTTGTTAAAATTTATCAGGAGTATGATTTGTATTATTTCATCAAAATTTAATAATCAAGTTGAATGTTTTTTGCCAAATGTTCAATCGTTATAACGAACTCTCCTAGATTTAATCTAATAAGTGTGCTATGTAATTCTTATCAAGCATCTCACTCTCTCTCTCTCTCTCGGAAAAAGAAAAAAAACTCAAACCAGATTTTCAATTAACTCAAAGCAATTGCCGGCTGTATTTGATCGTTTTTATTTGTTAGAAAAATAATCCAGACATTAGTTTTGAAGTATTGTGATAAATGAACATTTTTATAAAAATTTATTCTCCATATCTAATTTTTTTCGGAAAATAATTTCTTTTTAGAATGGTTCTTCGAAATTATCTTGCTCAACGTGCTATTGATCAAGCTGAACAAGGTGATTATTCTGAAGTGCGTAATCTACTTAACGAACTTAAACGTCCGTATGAAGGCCATGACCAAGATACAATTGAATTACCAAAACCGGATGAAACAACAATTGGAGCAGAAGTATTGCTTCCGGTGCTAGACACAACACAGAAACGTAAGTCATTTCTTGATAATTTCAGCCTCAAAAACAACAAAAACAAATAAGAGCCTTAATTTATTCTATTTTTAGATACAACAGGTGCTTGTCTAAAACCAACAATTTATGAATCAAAGGCACCATCAAATGCTTGTCGTATCCGTGTTACCTGATCATCATAAACGCCAATGATAAATCAATCATTGGCTATCTTATCTAACCATACACATAAATATTGATTGTTAATGATAATTGAAGTGTCAAGAATCATATTTCGATTACCATTTCAATTTGAATGTATCAATAGAATATGTGTATTTCTATTCCAGCATACTCTACTTGTATAATTTAATTTTTTTCACAGAAAATAAATCAGCGACTGCAATTGACATAATCATTTGATTTGATTTCGTTTTGTTGAAAATATTTTGTAAAGCAAAAGTAGTTTTATTTTTGTTTCCATAAAATGAACTCATTTTGTACAATACAAACAAGCGACCAATATGAGTTTGAACGTTCAAAAAGAAAAAAAACCATATGAAAAGAGAAATATTGGAATGAATAGATTTTGGTCACAAAAATAGTCTCACCAGGAATAAAAGACACAGAAGAAAAACGCTCATGAATAATGTAACAACCTTACAAATATTTCACCGGTATATGAAGCCAACATATAAAAATTATTTTATTTTTTTTCTAAGAATCTGAATATGAATTAGGATGAATTGTTTTCTATTGATGTTGGTGTAAATTCTTGACTTGATCGTTTATTATCTTTCGATAAAATGTCATCTTTACCTGTTTCAGCAAATGAAACAACTGGACCTCCATTATCGGTCGTTCGAGCTGGTGTATCTAATGCTGAATCTAAATTATCAATTGTAATTGGTATCGTTCGAATTAACTCAGCTGATAATGAATATGTTCGTCTTGGTGGTATTTGTAATGCTTCTGTTCCTATTGAATTACTATGATCACGTTTATATTGACATGATTGTTGTTGATTAAATTGATCGGCTTTATTTGGACATAAATGACGACATAGCCAACATTGTAAACCACAACAGCAAAAACGTCGAAATATAACTTCACGAAATGCTCGACGTATAGCACGATTTGAGAAAGCATATACAAATGGATTTAACTTTAAATTTAAAAAAGCAATAATTAATACTAATGAAAAAGAAAAACGATCATTTTTGTTTTTCAACTTACTGCCGAATTACAATAACCAAGCCAAAATGTTATTTTAAACCATGTATTCTCAGTATTTTCAGCAGTTATTATACCATGATGTTTAAGTATTGACATGAGAGGTAATGTCACAAAAAATGGTAGCCAGCATATAAGTAATGCGCTTAATATAAGACCAAGTGTACGGAAAGCTTTTTTTTCACGTTTAAGATTATGTAATTTACGTTTTATTATTAATAATTCATCATTTCGAGACATTTGTCCACTATGATGATGATGATAATGTGAAAGATGGCCAGTATTTGTGTGAGAATTTCGTTTAAATGTTGATGATATACGTTTACTAAGTGAACGACGTGCATTACTAATATAATGTGTAAGTGATGAACCAGAATATGATGTATCATCATCATGATTATTATTCTAAATCGAATTAAAATTGTTTTATATTTTAATCAAGTAAATTATGAAGAATATTTCTTTAATTCTACTTCGAAGTCATCTTTTTCTTTACCAGAATTGATTTAATTTCAAATCAATGATATAGAAAATTAAAAGATTTCCCTTATGATTTTGTCATTGATGGTAATATAATCATATATATTTTTAGAAAAAAAAAAGTAATTTTTTCCTTCTAGCATCTTCCTTTTAAGAGGAAATATCCTATTTTTTACACTCAATTTAGATTTCTTTTTCCTTCATCTTCAGTACTTCTAATTTAAGTACTTGTTTACTACGAATGATTATTTATAGATTGTTTTAAAAGATTTTAATGCATTATTATCTTTAAAAATAAAAGTATTATCAAGAGAATGTTGCATTTTTCTTTTTTTGTGTTCGTTAAGGAATTTTACTATTTATGAAAGCAACGTTTATGTAATCATACCGTAGTATCTGAATACTCTCGTTTGAATTGTCTTTCATCATGTAAATCTAAAGCATGATCAAGATTCGATTGTTTGTCAGGAACCATTCCATTATTTAAAAGTGCTATTGTTACATCAGTTCTATTAATATCGGGTATACTAGAATAAGCTCGTTGATTATCTGGTGAACGTTTATCATTATTCTGATTTTCTGTTGAATTTCCATTTGTATGATTTTGTTTTTGACGTACTTGTTCCGATGCTATTTGATAATCAATTTGATAAAGACGACGTTTTTCATTTTCTAATTTTTCTCCTTGTTTTTTAGCTTCTTGATACACACGTGAATAAAGTATAAGAAGAATAATAACAGGTATATAAAATGATATCATTGATGAAAATATTGTATAAAATGTATTTTTATTAACTTTACATGTTTCATAATGTTCTTGAGCAACATTTAAATCATTCGATTGTTTTTCCCGATCAGTTAAACCAAATAAAGGTACAACAGATGTTAATATCGATACAGCCCAAACAATAATAATTAAATAAATAGTTCGTCGTGTAGTCATTATACTACCATAATTCAATGGTCGTGTTACACCTATATAACGATCAATAGAAACAGCCATCAAAGCTATAATTGATGCTGTACAACATAGTACATCAAGTGCTAACCATGCTGAACAAAAACTTTGTCCAAATATCCATCGATCATTAAGTAATTCAAGAACAGATGAAAATGGTAATACAAATAGACCTATATTAATTATTTATTGATTAGAATAAAAATGATTTGAAAGAAAAGAGCCGAATATTTAATCTTACCAAGTAACAGATCAGCAATAGCCATATTAGCAATAAGATAGAAAGACGGTGTATGAAGACGTTTGTCAAGAAAAAGCCCTAAAAGTACCAGTGTATTGCCACCAACTGTAGTTAATATAAGTATAGCAAAACCAACACATGCTGCTAGAGAAATATCTGTATTTGTTAAAGAAATACTATTTGTTGGCATTGTTGTTTGTTGAATAAGTGATTGTGAATTTGTTGTTGTACTGATTGATTCACCAATCGTTCGTGTAACATTATAACTAAGAATAACTTCAGGTACGTTATTGAACAAATCGTTAGACATTTTTACATTATTTCTTTTTTTTTTTCAATAGACAATGAAATCTTATTGTGTCATCGCCATTGAATGGAAATGAAACATCATCTAGAAAAAAACATTATTGTGTTGCTTTTTTCCTGGTGTTCATGTAAAAAATTACCTATCACATCGGAAAAGAAAAAAAACGGAGAAGAGAAAAATGTGTAGGTTTTCATTTGTTCTTTTTTTAAATATCATTTACCTTGTTACGTGAGTTTTTCTCTGAGTAATATTCTTATAGAATCATGTAGCGGGTTTGTATAATCTTTTTTTGCTTATAATCAATATATAATAAAACTTAGTTCTCATATTTTAAATTTCTTAGTTTTTTTTTTCTTCTGTTATGTTGTGCTGTCATCAAAATGATCGATATATAAAAATAAATAGACATTATTTTCTTTTTTTCCAGAAGGATTATTATATTCCTTTCCTTTCTTTTCTTCTTTTCTTCTCTATCGAACTAATGCATGTCTTGGAAGCTTATATAGAATATTACTGTAGATAAGTAGATATAACCCGTAGTAGAAATCAAATATTAGCATCTTTGATGAAGAGAGCTTCTCTCTAGACATGACGAAGCCAAGCGAAAAGAAGCCAAAAGAAAACATCAAATGACACTTCTGTCATCTTGCTTGATGGCAGTTAGTAAGATCTACTATAGTTACCAATAGAATATTTTTGTCTAATTCTTAATTTTTTTTTTTGGTTTTATAATCTGTAGTCTTCATATTATTTAGATCAATTATTTGCATGGGTAACTAATGATTAGCTGAAGCTGAATGAAACAAAATACGAATGTAGTTTTCCTGTTTGGTAAATAGCAAATTAGAATCAACCTATGCTTTTTAAATGAGATTTTTTTTAAAATTATCTACACGTTTATGGCCTTTCATTTCTATTTATTATGCTTTCGGTGCCAGAAAGCTGTCAAAAGATAATACCTGATTAGGAAAATTTGTTGTGAATAACATACTTGCAGCAATTCAATTGTTGGCGGTTCTTTTCTTTTCTTTTACGAAGTATGATAAATTGAGCAATAAAAAACTGAGTATTCTCGAATTAATCAAAAAAAAAATGTAATATTTTACGGATTCTATTTAATGGGCTGACGAAAAGGTGTTTAAGTTGAATTCAGATGCCTCGAGAAAGAACACATTAGAAGAGTAAGCAAAATAGAAATAGCAGTAGTAATAGTTGAGGTAAAAAATAAAAATAAGTTATATGATTGACATTAACAACTAGCGAAAGATGAGTGAATATGAAAAAAAAAGAACGAACACGGTAAAAAAAAACAAATGTCGTGTGATCAGAAGAAGAGAGCAAGAACCGATTCAATCAATTGGTGGTGATAGGCACGAACACATCAGATCGTAAAACGATAAAACCAGTTACGGTGAAAATGCGCCCTTTTGTAGTCTTCTTTTACCTTTTCTGATCATAGATATCCCGTTCTCTCCGGAAATCAGCTATATGCTCCATGAAAACATAAGAATACAAAAAAGAGAAAATACAAAAAAAACCTCAAGTAGATACTTCTACTCAATTTCTCCATTGAAATATGGATCCACATACAATACAGACACACACGAAAATTGATACTATACTAAAGTGCTCTGCAACCATCTGTTATTACGTCTTTGTGAATCGTTACAACGTTTTTCTTTGTTTCTAATGATCAGCTCACATTTCTGGTCTCATTTGTATTTATTAGCAAAGTGAAACTAAATATTGATGTTTTTTATCATCGAAAAAAGTTTTACTCTTTCTTCTTTTTTTGATTCTACGACTACCAAATAGATTGATAAACTGCTTCTGATATGAAATAGAACAAAAATAAAAAAAAACAATTATTTGCCTCTACAATCAACTGAAAACTTCGTCGATGCAGTAAAAAAACAATAAATTTCCTTTTTTATCAGTTTAATTGACAGATGGAGAAGATTTCTCATATATATATATATAAACTCTAATTTTATTCAAGTTGATCTTCCATCATACAACGTACCTGCAGTACAAATTTTAGTTGTTGCTTGTCTTGTATTTTTTATCTAATTATTTAAATACCTAAATGAAACATATACAGGTGAGCAAATATACATACATATGATACTGGTTTCGCCTCATTGCTTATTGCTCTCAACCGAACACATTGTCAGACGACGTAAGAAAATACAAAAAAGCAAACAGAGCCACTGGCGATAATGTTACACTAGTATCATTCACGCGCGACTAGAATGTGAATAAAATAATATTCGAGTTCTTTTTTCTCTTGTTTGGTAATTATGTATGGTTGACAAAGTTGCGCGACATTTTTTTCAGATAATAACATAGAATGTACTATCTGATAATAAACTTATCTAGATTTAATAGATATATAGGTTTATGCTAAATCTATTTAATATATTCGTTTAACTCATCAGGTATGATATGTTTAAAATACGAAAGATAAATCTCAAATCGAATTTGTTTATAAGAGATAAAGAAATAACGTTATAAAACAATGTATTTTGTGATATGTAATATGACTATCGCAATAAATACCGATTTTTTTTCTACTTTCACTATATACACAAAACAACAAACAAGCAATAAGCTGACCTTTTACCATTTCATTTTCATGGTATGAGAGAGATTATATGACAATGCAAATGGATTTATCAAAAAGCAAGAAAAAAAAAGGAAAGAGAAAGTATTGTTGCTTTTAGTTGTCATCGAAAATATACTGTAGACAGAAGCACATAAAGGAGAAGGAAGCAATCTGCTTCAATTATTCAAATGATCAACTCAATAATAGATCATCTCTTTTTCTATAAACAAATTACAAGTTAGTCTAGTATTTCTGCATATATCCAACGATATTCTCAATTGCAAATGCACTTATTCATGATATTATAAAAAGCATCGCCGTGTAAAAGCAACCATTGTGTCTTTCTCAATCAATTGTTGGGGCATGTTCTAACAAGAAAAGCGCTTATTAGTAACGGAAATCAAGAGAGCATATTTTATGAAAGAGACATATCAATCGAAAAACCAAGAAATATAGCGTAAGAATGATCACAACATGATGCCGATTCGGGGTACTTATGAGGACAAAAGAAACTATAATAAAATATATATACATACGTATTTTTCTTCTTATCATACATGCTGATAAAATGAGAAAATATTTCGTATGTACAGGGTTCGAAAAAAAACATGTCTGTGATTATGAAACTAAAAATAGCTATTCGTTTATATTCAACGTTGAATGAAAAAAGAAAGACACGTCATGTCTATGGATAAAAAAAGAACCATATATATGATATATAAGATTACGAGTGATTGCACAAGGCTGAGTGACTATGCGTGCACCATTATCATCATGATTTCGTTAAACAGACGATATAAGGATAAGATGAGTAAAAAGCAGAAAATCATAAGTATTATTACATTAGTAATTCTATAAAATTTATTATTTTTTCTGCAAAATAGCAAAAACAAATTCCTTATAGAAATAAAAATGCGAAAGATTGACAAAACGAAGAAAAATATTGAGAAATTAGGCTAAACACGCTAAATAGCCTATCATCTTTTTCTTTTATCTTTAAATCTTATCTTCTTGAAATGTCTCGGTCATTAGACTTGGATCTGTCTATTGCAATTTATTTTAAGTTTCTTCATATTTTTCTCTTTTCTGATACATAGCAAACGAAACATCTGCCATCGAGAAGATATGATAAACACAAAGTGCACAATCTGAATGTCTCTATATTCTTCTTAATAATGCCAATATATATGTCAGCGTCCAAACTGAGATTACGTCCAATCTCAGATTGGCCTAGGCGAATGTCGGATCCGAGATTGAACGCGTCCAATCTCGGATTGACGCAATTCTGTTCACTAAAAAATCAATTATTCTTTAGATAAACGTTGCATTCGAACTATTTTTTGAAATTATGTTCGCACAATGCCGTTTTAAGTATTACAAGCATTTAGGAAGAAGCGAAATTTAGATTCAAAAATTGAATAAAAATTTTTCATCGAAGTTGTTGTTTTCTAGAAATTTATTCATAACTCGTAAAATTTTACTAAAATCTACCAAATGACAATTGTGCCAAATAAATTGGCATTGTGTAAACATAACTCCAAAAGCCAATTCGAATCCAACGTCTATCTAAAGAGTAATTGATATTTTGTGAACAGAATTGCGTCAACCCGAGATTGGACGCTGACATATATATATATATATAATATGTACTAAGTTGTGTTCTTCACATAATATTTAGCGGACAAAACTATTTTTTTATACGATATCAAGTTTTTAAAATGTTCTCAACCGAATTTTATTCACTAGCAATACATAAGAAACTTTAACGACCTATTTTAGAATTATAACGCTTTTCTTGTTTTTGATATCGTAAAAAATAGGGTATAGGATTTCATGATATACGTACGGTGCACGGTTAATTATGTTTTTTTTTTATTTGACATATTTTTATAAAATTAGACATAATTATACCTCATTTATTCTAATATATTTGTTTCAAGATAGATGATATAGATTAAAAAAAAGTGTCTATTCAAATTATTTGAGATGTTAAAATGTGTCATGCCGTAATGATTGACATTGATTTTTGATAGTTGACATAGAAAAATGAAAAATTAACCAAGACTTGACATAAACATATACGCATATGTTATTTTTTGTTATATCCGATTATTCTTTTTATAGCTTGTGGTAAACATCATTAGTGTATATCATCGTCCTCACATTAGCAGAAAAGTATTGATTCTCCGTATGGACTACATAAATATTTATTCAGATATCATTACACATGACCGTATTGTTAGGATATTTTTCGTTGAAAATGAAATATTTATAAAAATTTTTACTTAGTGACATTATCTTTAGAACAGTTGACTTTAGGAGGAGTTTCTTTTGCTTGTTTTCATCTGTCGAATTGACTCTCTTCGGTAATATTCTGAGTTCTGAGAAAGGAAATTCT